TGGTGGTAAGGAATCTCACTTTGGTCCTAAACCTCCTAAAACTAAACTGGTTCTTGGCTTAATGTTTACTGGGTCAGTGGGTGCCGTGAAAGTTTTCCCATTCTGCTCTGATGCTGTATTACCAGCTTCATTATGACCAAGACACTGAACTAGGTTCAGGCTCCTACAGAGAGATTATATATGACGTTGATGCAAACACATGCTTATTGAGTGTTTTGGTTACAGCTTTCAGTTTTAACCTACTCCTAGAAACACGCTGTTTTTAACATCATAACTCTGGTCCTTCAAGCCCTACTAACAGTGCTGTGGCTTCTGGTTTAGTTACCTGAAACAGGAATTTACCTTAATCATTAAAATGAAGAGATAAACTGTTTATCTCTTTTGTAATTAAAAACCTCATCAATGGATGAAAAAAAAGATCGGCTTTATTGCATATTTTTTATTTGTGAAGATCATCATAGAGCTCAAAGCTCCATCCAACCTGGCCTTCCAGGAATGGGGCAGTCACAGCTTCTCTGGGCAGTCTGTGCCAGTGCCTTACCAGGATACAGTTGGTTTCTAGGCTGCAGGCATACACTGCTGAGTCATGTTGAGCTTCTCATCAATCCACACCCCCAAGTCCTTCTCCACAGGTCTGCTCTCAATCAGTTCTCTTCCGAGCCTGTGGTTGTGCTTGGGATTGCCCCGACCCAGGTGCAGGACCTTGCTCTTGGCCTTGTTGAACTTCATGAGGTGTGCACCTGCCCACCTCTCAAGCCTGTTGAGGTTGCTCTGGATCCTATATAATAAAGCCAGCAAATACCAGCTGATAATTCAGACAGTGGTTACCACTGGTTAAAGTGCTTGATATTGATTGAATAACCTGGAAAGAAACTGTTACAGAGCATCAGCCCCTGAAGCATTTGTGAAGCCCTTGGCGTGCCTGCTTAAGAACAGTGGATAGCAGGCTGTGGCTGGGCAAGGGCATCATGCCAGTTTGCTAGTAGTTAAACTCATCTTGCAGTGATTCCTTTTTGTGTCTCTTTTCTTTTACATAGGTGGCTTACATGACAAAAAGTAAAATCTGTCTTCAGGACACTGCATATATTGGTCCAGGACTTCTAGTTTTGGATCAGTACTTCAATAGTTTCATTGATGAATATATTGTTCTATGGATAGCATTGGTAAGCATTTTGGTTTGTACTTTTCATTTGGCACATACTGAAAGGAATGGATTGAGAACTGTCTCTGCCATTTCTGACTTGCTCAGATCTCAGCTTTTGCTGCAGCAGGAGTGGCAGGGTACCATGTAAACATGTACCTTGGGAGCTGACTGGCTTCCTTGGAACAGAGATGTGAAAGTAAATCTACAGACGTATCTTGTAATTATGCTTTAGTCCAGGTGGTTTCTTTAAAGTTATTCTGCAAACTGCAAACTAAACTTTGTTTATCAGACAGCACTTTGTTTAGTGCTGGGGTTTTGGGGCTTCATTTTTTTCTTCTAAACCACCCTGTATCTTTATGTTAAAATGCTGTTAAACTTGTCATTTGGATAGATTCTGATTATGGTACAGATGAATTTATAGTAGGGACAATTTTAAGAAATAATTAGATTTATTTTTTTTTAACCTGTTCTGTTTTGTTCTTTTGAAGTTCATATCCTTGTTTGATATGCTGAGATATGCCACTGGTGTATGCCTACAGATTGCTGCTCATCTTCATATACATGTCTTCCGAATTTCATCTCATCAAGCTCCTGAACAGGTTCAAAACCATAATGACTGATTAAATAGGTCAAGAACAAAAGAAGAAGCAGTTAGGGGAATGCTGAATGAAGCAGCCTGTCTTTTTTTGGGGGAAGAGATTAAGCTTTTTAAGAAAACAGTTTTATGAGAAAGCTCACTCTATCCTAGACATTATCAGGTGTTAGAGTTACGAAGTACAAAGTCCTGCAGATTCTATTGTGATTGTTACTTTTGAACCAGGATGTATTTTTCCCCCGTGTTTTAGAGCATGAATACTGCATTTGAAACTTTTGCCATTTCCTGTTAGGTAACCTTAATTTTGTACTTCTGGTCTGGTGAATGCAGGCTGCAAACCCAGGTGCTACGAACCAGAATTCCAAGAGGAATTTAACTTTTCCCTAATCTTCTATTGTTAGTTTTTAAAGTCTTCTTGGAACTGCTGTGAAGTGGTAGTCATGTATCAGTGAATACTGTACTGCATTATTAAGACTGGTAAAATGAGGCATAGGTGAGGTAAAACTACTCATTAATCTCTGTTCCAGTATTTCTAAAGAAAAAGCTACTGGATCAGTACGATGAAGGAGGTATAGCTCAGGAAAATTTTCTTCTATGTCAAAATACTATGAAGTACTATGAAGTTATGAGTGCCTTTAGGATCATGGATTCTCTAGTATCTAAGTACGTAACCTACATGACTAAATACAATTTTAGCTTGTGTTTTCTTTCAAGGCCAGTTTCTGGTTTTGTGGTCCCAGTAAGGTTTGCCTCATTGTACTCCATCATTATCTAGACTATAGGTAGTTGTGTACTCTGGGGGCACTTACTTTACCTACCTTAACATGCATCTGGAACTATACAAGTGAATGACCAAGTTCATTTATAAATGACTGTGACTGACTGTGACAATGCAGCCCATCCATACGTAACTCCCTCTGAAGTATATTTGCTATTGCTGTGTTCATCTATCTTATAATCTGTTCTGTAGCTGTCACTGTACATTATCCAAACAAAATTGCACTGAGCTAAAACCAAATGTATAGTAAAAATCTCCAAAACAGGAATTCAGGCCCAATATCAGCCTTTCCCTTTCCTTAAGAACAGACTGACTGGCTAACATAATGTACCTAGCTAAAGGGCTGTTGTTGGCATTAGAGAAAAGCTGCGTGAAAGTAGCTTATCACCTGCATGAGCAAATCATGACTTGCATGCAAACCCTATAAACTTAAACTCCTTTAAAAAGGTACGTTTTGAATATGATTTTTGTAAAAAGCTGTTGAATGTGTCTGTTACCACTTTCAGTTGCTGATATGTAGCTGAGCTGTGAGTTCATAAAGTCCTTCCTGAACTGTAAAATAGACAGCTATGATTTGTTTTAAAAATATTACCACTGCAGCTTCCTAGTTGCACATTAATTCAAAAAGACTTCCTGAGGTGTTCAAGGAACTTTAAAAGTGGCATACTGTCTGGTAAATTTGGAGGGAATAAAATACCGTCTACCAAACTCCTGCCTAAGAAGGATATGCTGATAGACTGGAGGGATAACTGTAACAGTTAATGCTAAAGGACCAGTACTCCAAGTGACTAGTATCAATCCCAGATGAATCCTACTACTCCTACTGTTTGAGGCTGTGAAAGACAGAGCATATATAAAGGAATTTAGCCTGAGCCCAGCCCATGGGGAAGCAGAAGATGGTAAAGACCAGTTCAGTTTTTCTGAATACTGTAAACAAATTAACCACTTAAGGAAAATATATAGGCAACTTTTTTTAGAATGAGAAGGTTTGGCTCCCCAGAATGCTCAAAAATGTCATCCAGTAGTAGGTGTAAGTTTTAAGGATATGATTGAAGTATGGGGATGATAGGAAACTAATGCAGAGATCGGTCAGAAAAACAGAAATATGAGGCAATACTAACAAAACCAGAAACATGAGGCAACACTAACAACCAACCTAGCACCAAGGATAGGAAGCAGGAAGTTTTAATTGTATTTCACAGCATCATCTAATTATCCTTGGAGGGCTGAGACTCAGGAGCACTGTTACAAAGCAGCAGTTACCTGTTACATACCAGAGGCCCATATTACCTCATACATCCTTCTAGCAGTGTAACTTCTGTGTTTGCTCCTTCTCTGAGTCCTAGCAGACACAGAACAAAGACAGCTTCATACTAGTCGCTTGTTCAACTTCAGCTGCAACCTAATAGCTGACGTTAGTATGTAAATTAGCCATCACTAATCTGGCTCCCAGAACTGGAGAACCATCATCAAATGGCTTGATTCTGAACTAAAAATACTAGAAGAATCTGTATGGACTGGTTTTGAAATACATTGTTACAAAAACATCACATTTGTGCGTGTGGGTGTGTGGATGGTTTTTGTTTTATCTACTATTGTATGAAGTCTAAGCATTAAATATGTTAGGAACTTCCTAATTTGTAAAGGTGGATATTCAGGTATAATGGGTTTCTGTAAAAAAAAAACTGCATGCAAGCTAAGCTTTAATTTATACTGATCTACTGTAATGAGCTACATTGAAAGATAAATGCTTTATCCTTAAAACTTAGGCCTCTCTAACTTGCTAGTCATTTGGAATTGCAAGAAGTAATATTCCACCTCAAAGGCTTGTAATAACTAGTACTAACTAAATGAGCTGAATTAATTCTAATGGTGGTTCCAGAAGAACTATACACCCCAATATGCACCCCAGTTATGCTTTCTTGAGGAGGTGTAATATAAAGCTGTGATACTCAGCTGTAATTCAACTGAAGAAACCTGCTTTTGAGACAAATTACAGCAGTTACTAAATCCCTTACTAGTACAAAGTTATTACAATGCCTAGGCTAACAAAAGAGTTAACAAAATTTACTTTAATTTACCATAATACACATCACTGAACAATCTTACATGAACTACGTCATACTCTGTGAACATTTATAACTGCTAATATGTCAGTAGACTAAATTTTGAAACTGTGAAAATCTTGAAGTTTGCAGCTTGTGAAAAATGCTTCTATTTGTACAATGTATCTAAAGGCCTAAAGTTATTGCTTCAAACCTGGGTAATCCATTTTTCATTAATTCTGCCCACTGTTACAATTTGTCATTATAAAAAGTGAAAAGTGAAGCAATTGAAACTCTTCAGTGCTATTGAAAGTGAGTATTCGTCAGTTAAAGACTGGACAGACAGTAAATGGTTTGAGGTCCATATTGTGTTCCCCCCCCCCTCCCCAAGTAATAAATTTACTAAGATACTTATTTATAACATTATCAGACACAAGATTAGAACAATCCAGGAAAGCATTTAATAGAAACTTTAAAACATTTAAATATTAACATATTTCTCTATGGCTAATGCCTATACTTGTATCATGTTACTTAGGTACAAGTTGTTTCTCCATTGAGCCATCAGAATAACATGGACTGAAGAGACTTGCGAACAGCTGCCATCTCCTGCTGTTGCTGTTACAAGAAAGGGAGATAATACTGAACAAATGCCATACCAATATGATTCCTTTGAGCCAATTAAAAGAATGTCAAATGACTTTTTTATAGAATGTTCTATTTTTGCATTTAACTAACTTTTTCATCTGGTACTTACAGTGTCCATCATAATCTTCTTCTGCAACATAGTCATTTCTTTGCGGAGTTCATTTTGTACACCAGCTAGATGACTTTCATTGCTCTTCTCCAGCTCTTCCATGCTCTGAAGTTAAGGATAATCTTAACTCAAAACTCTTCAATGTCAAAGGGTTTATTTCAAACAAATAAACCACTATTCAGACTACTACAGTTCAATTTTTTACAGCTGCAGTGGTCACTGATAGTTGAGTAGTTTTGTCACAAACTTGACAGACAAATCATACATGACTTTGTATTCCCATCTGCATTCCTGTTTAAATAATATGGGCCCTCAGCATATGTGAGGTCTCAGCTAGTTATCCTGCATTTCAATAAAGAGTTCTACAAGAAAAGATTAAGCAGACATCTGTCAGGAATGATAGGGGTTCGGTATTAATACAACCTTGGAGACTTGAAGTAAGGACTGTAAAACCCATTAAATTTCCATCTCTACAGACTTATGCCCAAATAAGCCAAGTAAAGGTCATTGGTTATCTTTCCCTCTGTATGTACAATTATGCCTAACTCTGTGTATGTGTGTAGCTGCATTTTCCTTGACTTGTATTTAGTTAAGCTTATTTGAGGCTTGATTTCTGCCTTTTGATCTTCTTTGAAAAGTAATACTTGACCTTCTGTTCACTTTTTAATCTTTGATGAAGACGTTTTTGACATTTTGGAAGTTATAATTTATTAATGTTTCTGTAATATCCTCTGTACACTTCAACTATCTTGAAGTAAGAGCTGCTCTATTTCAGATTTATTGTTACAAGCTACCTGACTTGAAAAAAACCCAGGCATATTTATCATAACTACAATTTCAAAAAGGGACCACTTAGGAAATTACTTGAACAGAAATTAAAGTTTGTCAGAAACTGGCAGACTTGAACACTAGTATATACTGGAGTCCACCCATCTAGAAAGCAGCTTGGCAGAAAAGAACCTGGGGTTCCTGGAGGACACAGGTGAAGCCAGCAGTGTGCCTTTGCAGCAAAGGCAGCCAAAGACCTCCTGGGCTGCATTAGGATGAGTGTTGTCAGCAGGCAAAGAGGGGTGATCTTTTGACTCCATTCAGCCCTGATGAGACCACATCTGGAGTGCTGGGTCCAGTTCTGGGATCTGACCAGAACCCAACAAAGGGCCATGGAGATGATTAAAGGACAGGAGCGTATCTCTTACAAGAGCAGACTGAGAGAGCCTGGAGAAGACAAGGTTCAGGGGGAATCTTACCTATATACAGAAGTACCTGAAGGGGTAGGGAGGATGTGCAAAAAATATTGAGCCAAGCTCGAGGTGCCCAGTGACAGCACCAGAGGCAATGGGCACAAACAGGAAGTTCCCACTGAACATCAGGAAACACTTTTTTACTGTGAGAGTGACAGAGCACTGAACAGGCTGCCCATACAGGCTGTGGAGTCTCCATCCTTGGAGATAACTCAAAAACTCTCTAGACATAAGTCCTGAACAAGCAACTCTAGGAAATCTGGCTGAACCACCTGTGGGCTGGACCAGATGACATCCGGGTCTCTTCCAACTTCAGCCCTTCAGTGTTTCTATGGTGCTGTGCCTCTGCATTTGTTACAAAAACAAATTCAAAGCACTTTTGCTTTCCTCACAGTTTAGATTTCTAATAGCTTACTTAGAAAAACTAGGGGTGGAAGGAAGTTCTGGGAACAAAGTGTTTGGTTCTTAATGTAAAGTTACAAGGAAACTTTTTCTTGCAAAGAAGTCAAACTTTTTAGTAGTTACGTTTTTGGGTTTTGGGTTTTTTTTTTCTGTCTAGTATATTAGTTACTTTGTTAAAAAAAAAAAAAAAAAATCACACTACAGTTGATTGGTATGAATCATACCTTTGAAATACATTATCTCTGTAAGCACTATCCAAAAATAAACAAACAAAAGGTGTTTGTAGGGAATCCCAGCAAATACAAAAAATATGCATAAAGCAACAGGAAAGTTGGGCAAGTTTTGGGCAATCCATCCAGCTGGGCAAGTTTTCACCATAAAGCATTAATTTCATCAGATTCTTCCTGTTAACACTGTAGTGAATGCTTACCTTGAATACCAAGCTTACAGAAAGCGACAGCCTTTCTAATGAATGTTCCTTAGGAAGAGATGAAGGGAGTTCTAACTGGTCAATTTTAAGGGAATTACAATTTAATTTAAGGGTCACTTTCTTACATGAAGCAGCAATAGCTAGAAAGGTTAATGACATAAAAAAAATGGTTTCTATTTCTCATGATGGGGGATACACCTGCCAGCAGTAATAAAAGCCAAATGAATTGCAGCCTAAGATGTATTTTTACTAGATTGTCAAGTTTCACTGGTTTAAATATATACCAAAAAATCTAAGGGAATAATTAAGAAAAAAAATCTTGATGATTTAACTGACCTACATAACCTTTCAACTGGTACAAAACCATATTCTGTTTAGAAAGTGTGCTCTGAGGGTTATGCTTAGATATTTGAAACAGGCAAGCCAATCAGAGCCCTGGTAGAACACATTTAAGTAAATTATGATGCAATGTTTATGCATGTATAGAGAGAACAAGCTATATTCACAGAAAATAAGGGAAAGATACTAACATGAATATTCAAGCAAGGCTATTATTTTCCTTAAATGAGCCTTAAATCTCTTAAATGTCATAAAGGCTGAACTCATACAGCTTTTTTAATTGATAATGATCAACTACCTTGTAAGAAGAAAACTTACTGTACCTTTAAGAACTGCTCATAGAGCTGCTTAATGGTTTTCAGCCTCTGACTTTGTACTATTCTTGCCTGTTGAAAAACTTTTTGCTGCTGACGAAGCATATTCTGAAGCAGAAGCAAAAGAAAAAACTGATGGCATTAGTTAGCCAAAAACGCTTGGACAGCAACACTAATGTCATTTATCAGAATCATAAATTATGTCTTCACTGGAAATGTGGGTCATGTAATAGAGATCTCTGCCTGAAGAGATATCCTTGTTCTTATTAATGAAAGAAAGACTGAAAACTGGATTAAGCCCTGAGTTACCTCCTGAGGTCCCTTCCAACCTGAATTATCCCTGTGAGACACTATAAGGATTGCTATCCAGCACAGTTCTCGAGGGTATCCCTGGGAAATGTGTTGACTAGAGAAAAGCAAAACTTGCCTGATGTTGCTGTATTTGTACTCCCAACGTTTGCAATTACATTCCATCGTAATAGCTCCTATCCCCTTTCAATGATCAAATTCTCATACATTTACTATATACAGGCATATTTTTAAGAAGTGCATGTGAAAACAACTATTCTCCTTTACTCATGTGTTCCCCAAACCCAAAGACTATGCATGCACAGGAACAGCATACAACTTTCTTCTCCATAAATAGTCTTGGCTTTTCTCAATCTATTCCTAGCCTAGGGCATCACTAGTCGCCATTTATAAACTTGCAGTAAAGTTCATAAATGGCACCCCTCTTCACTTTCAAATACATCCCAAAACTTGTATTTACCCTGAGAGCCACCAAACTTGGAAGAATTTTTTTTATCAAGCGGCAAACAATCATATGGGTTTTTTTTTTAAAACCACATAAAGTGGTTTTACATTTCATGAGTGTCTGAACAACAGTATTCCCTCCTTGAGAAAATACCATGAAAGTCATATTGGAAACCCACCGCTAGTTTTTCTTCCTGCTCCTCTGCTTTCTGCACATCTACATCCCATTGCTGAAATAAAGTCAGGAACTGCTGGGAGAATTCATGATTGAGATTCTGCCTATAAACACAACCCGTAAGAATGACAAATGATACGAAGAATTGCAAGGGAAGCTAAGGGTCAACATACACACAGGGTAAAATAACAGGAGCTGGCATAGATTAAAACCCAGGCTATTTTGACATCAGGCCCTAACTGAATACTGTACGCTTTGAAAAACTGAACGCACATAAATATACATACACATACACACTGAGTGAATGTAGATTAAATACACATATACATATAGTAAGTATAGATGTATTTACTGCGTTTTTCTAACCTAACTACAGACCTTGGGCTTAACACATGGGTTTCTAATGAAAGAATTGATTAGCTCATTCTTTAGTTCATTCTACTCTAGTTTCTCTATGTAAACTTACATTTTGTCAATGTAAGTTTCAAAAATATGCATGTAAAAACACTAAGACAGTTACAAGTATTGCTGGCTTCCAGTTTTTAGTGGTCTCATTTTTCAGTTTGCTTCACCTCTAGTATCAGCTATAGTAATTAAATACACCTTCAGAGGCAAGAGGAATGTTATGTAGAGTGAAAATTATTTATAATGCAAAAATTAAAATTTTCCTTTGTTAAGCAGAATAGTATAAAAGTTTTACTGAACATTTCTCAGTTTTCAAGTTTAAACAAAACAATTCCAAGTGAAGTGGAAATCAAAAAAAAACAACTACTGACCAGCAGGTTGAAGGAGGTGATCCTGCCCCTCTACTCTGCTCTCGTGAGACCTCACTTGGAGCATTGTATACAGTTCTGGTGCCCTCAACATAAAAAGGACATGAAACTCTTGGAACAAGTCCAGAGGAGGGCCACGAGGATGATCAGGGGTCTGGAGCACCTCCCATATGAAGACAGGCTGAGAAAGTTGGAGCTGTTCAGCCTGGAGAAGAGAAGGCTGTGTGGAGACCTCATAGCAGCCTTCCAGTATCTAAAAGGGGCCTATAGGGATGCTGGAGAGGGACTGTTCATTAGGGACTGTAGTGGTTGCACAAGGGGTAGCGGGTTCAAACTTAAACAGGGGAAGTTCAGATTAGATACAAGGAAGAAGTTCTTTACTGTGAGGGTGGTGAGCACTGGAATGGGTTGCCCAAGGAAGTTGTGAATGGTCCATCCCTGGTGGTGTTCAAGGCCAGGCCGGACAGAGCCTTGGGCAATGTGGTTTAGTGGGAGTTTTCCCTGTGCATGGCAGGGGGGTTGGAACTAGATGATCTTAATAAGGTCCTTTCCAACCCTAACTATTCTACGATTCTATGATTGTTTAAAGGACAAAAGTAACATCAAAGGCCATTTTCCATAAAAACAGAAATAAACCCAGCTCTTTAAAGCACCTTGCTCTCAAAATTCCAAATCTTAACTTTCCCTATACAAAGGAGAAAGCACTATGCAGTAATTGTCTATAATTACTGCCAGTTTAACCAAGTGAACACAACTGGAGGCAGCAGAAACAGAGAACCTGAGCAGATAGAATCACAGAATCATAGAATAGTTAAGGGTTTGAAAGGACCTTAAGATCATCTAGTTCCAACCCCCTGCCATGGGCAGGGACACCTCACACTAAACCATATCACCCAAGGCCTTGTCCAACCTGGTCTTGAACGCTGCCAGGGATGGAGCATTCACAACCTCCCTGGGCAACCTATTCCAGTGCCTCACCACCCTAACAGGAAAGAATGTCCTCCTTGCATCCAATCTAAACTTCCCCTGTTTAAGTTTGAACCCGTTACCCCTTGTCCTATCACTACAGCCTCTAATGAAGAGTCTCTCTCCAGCATCCCTATAGGCCCCCTTCAGATGCTGGATGGCTGCTATGAGGTCTCCAAGCAGCCTTTTCTTCTCCAGGCTGAACAGCCCCAACTTCCTCAGCCTGTCTTCATATGGGAGGTGTTCCCATCCCCTGATCATCCTCATGGCCCTTCTCTGGACTTGTTCCAACAGTTCCATGTCCTTTTTGTGTTGAGGACACCAGAACTGCACACAATACTCCAGGTGAGGTCTCACGAGAGCAGAGTAGAGGGGCAGGATCACCTCCTTCGACCTGCTGGTCACACTCCTTTTGATGCTGCCCAGGATACGGTTGGTTTTCTGGGCTGCAAGCACACACTGCCTGCTCATGTTCATTTTCTCATCAACCACCACCCCCAAGTCTTTCTCCACAGGGCTGCTCTGAATCTCTTCTCTGCCCAACCCGTAGCTGTGCCTGGGATTGCTCCGACCCAGGTGTAGAACCTTGCACTTGGCATGGTTAAACTTCATGAGGTTGGCATCAGCCCACCTCACAAGCGTGTCGAGGTCCCTCTGGATGGCATTCCTTCCCTCCAGCGTATCAACTGAACCACACAGCTTGGTGTCATCGGCAAACTTGCTGAGTGCGCACTCAATCCCACTGTCCATGTCAGTGATGAAGATGTTAAACAAGACCGGTCCCAACACCAATCCCTGAGGGACACCACTCGTTACTGGTCTCCAGCCAGACATTGAGCCATTGACCACAACTCTTTGGGTGCGGCCATCCAACCAGTTCTTTATCCACCGAGTAGTCCATCCATCAAATTCATGTCTCTCCAATTTAGACACAAGGATGTCATGTGGGACAGTGTTGAACGCTTTACACAAGTCCAGGTAGATGACATCAGACTGACTGTAATTCCCCAGGTCATCCATTTTCTTGAAAATGGGGGTTATATTTCCCTTTTTCCAGTCATTGGGAACTTCACCTGACTGCCATGATTTCTCAAATATGATGGCCAGTGGCTTAGCAACTTCATCTGCCAGCTCCTTCAGGACCCGCGGATGGATCTCATCAGGACCCATGGACTTGTGCACGTTCAGATTTTTAAGATGGTCTCGAACCATCATCTCCTACAGTGGGCGCAAGGTCTTTATTCTCACAGTCCCTGCATCTGCCTTCCAAGACTTGGGTGGTTTGGTCAGAGCCTTTGCCAGTGAAGACCGAGGCAAAGATGTCATTCAGAACCTCAGTCTTCTCCAAATCCTGTGTAGCTAGCTCTTCCGAGAGCTTCCTCAGGGGACCTCCGTTCTCCCTTGTCTGTCTTTTATTTGCTACATACCTGTAGAATCCCTTCCTGTTATCCTTAATACCCCTAGCAAAGTTTAATTCTAACTGGGCTTTCCTAATCTGGTCCCTAGCTTCCCGGACAACATCCCTGTATTCTTCCCAGGCTGCCTGTCCTTGCTTCCACTTTTTATAAGCCTCTTTTTTCATCTGAATTTTCCTCAGCAGCTCCTTATCCATCCAAGGTGGTCTCCTGGCCCTTCTGCTGCACTTCCTTCTAGTTGGGATGCAACACTCCTGAGCTTGTAGCAGGTGAACCTTGAGTATCAACCAACAGTCTTGGGCCCCCCTGCCCTCTTAGGGCTATATCCCATGGAACCTTACTAAGCAGGTTCCTGAAGAGGCCAAAGTCTGACCTTTTGAAGTCCAGGGCAGTGAGCTTGCTGCACGCTCTTCTCACTGTCCTGAGGATCATTTAACTAGCAGATACACTGTTTGCTATTTAATTGCAAGATGCACCAACTAGCCATGCTGTAACACAAAAGGGAACTTGATTTCACAGGTTTGAAAAACAAGGGTGTTACCTTTGCTCCTGCTGTGTTTTCCAAACATGTTCAATCTTCTGGTTACTGGTTTTTAGTGAGGCTTTTGTATACATTTCTAATCTTTTCCTCTTAGCTAAGAGAGCCTTGTTAATGTCCGCTAAAAATGAAAGAATATTTATAGCTTCAGCCTACTGAGATACATTGGGCCTTTTATCAAAAATGCTGATGAGAGCATTTGCTGATGAGAGCAAAGTTACACTTTGGAAAAGAGAACAAAGTGTGTTCTGATGCAAAGAAGCTAATGTAATCTGGGTGCTGCTGTATTTTAGGTGTTCCTCCACCTGCTGTTGGCACTGGTGAAACTGCTGCTTCCCTTAGCCCCTTGTATGCTCTAACCAACACTTGGCCTTTGGAGTTGCAACTGCTCCTTACCCAGCCCCACCAACTACTTGAGCATCTGCTTCAAGTCCCACCTCTCTCAGGGGCCCCACCAATTAGAACCTATCATGCTGTGATTCAGCTTTTGCTTCTTTATTATGAAGGTGCAGAGACTACTCTCTAGCTCATTCTGTATCACAACTACTGCCAAAATTCCTTGTCTAAAATGAAAACTATCTTTTGTATTTTGCTGCTTATATTGAAATTTACATGTTCCTTATTTCCCACTCATGTCTTGCAATCCCCAGTCCCTTTATGTTGTTTTAACAAAAAGATGAGTAAGAATTACAGTTCTTACTCACATTGTCCCTTTTCTCTACAATATAATCAGTGCCTCTTAACTGTCACCTTAAAATTGGAATTGATAATCAAAAGCACTTTTTCCTTTGTAATTACCTACACTAGTATATCTCACTTTATATGTTGTTATTCCCACATTTTCTTTCTCTTTGCTCTACGTAGGTATAACTTTTTTTTTTTCCTGAAAACCAGCTTTTTTCAGAAATGCTGCAAAATGCTACAAAGTCTGGTCATTTGATGCAAATCTTGAAACTTATTTTATGGTAAGGAATTTGTGCGAGTTCTGCAACTTAAATATGAATCGGCTTTTAATTTATTGGAATGTAAATGTACTTACCTCCAAATCTTTCCAGCATATTCTGCACTTCACCCCTACAAAACAGTGTTTAAAATTTTTATTGGCCCATTTTCTGACTTTAGAATAAGGGATGCTTTATATACTTAATACTCGTTTTATTCCCATGCCTATTACTTGTAAGCGGTGAAAGGGCTGCTACTGAAAAATGGAACTCCTTTTCTTCTCCTGTGAGAGGTCTCTTTTTTAGACCAATCTGATTTAAAAAAAATGAATTACTAATCTATTAACCTACTCTCTTGTAAAAAGGCAGTATTAGGTATTTCAAGTGTCTTGAGTAAAGGAGGACGGTAAATAAAATAGAGCATTCTCTACACGAAAAGTATTTGGAACATCAAATGAAAACAAGTCCATCATAGTTATCATGACTGGCATAGTAAGAAAAATCCAAGACAAGTAATAACAGGGTTGTTTCTACAACATCTTTAAGATGATGATTCTATGATTCTGTTCTATGAATCTATGACACCAGTGTGTAAGACACCGGTACAATAGCTGACAAGTCCAAAAAGGGTCATGGTGGGTAAAGAAAATGTTTATCTTTGTTTTATATCATCTTCTCCACAGGATGTCGCTTCTTTTTTACTCTTCAAAAAGGAAAAAAAGGGATCTTAAATTCAACAGCTATAACCTTGCTAAAAAATATTTCAACATACACTTTTTTTACATTACTGCCCATAAATATTGCATTTCATAAGATTTATCTGTAAATAGAATGTATTTTTCATGCAATAGTTGGATTAAAGTACTGTTAGTATGTTCTGACAACTAAGATCGGGGGGGGGAGAAAATTAATGAAATTATCAGCAATCTCAGATAAAACTTAAAATCATCTTCTGAAAGAAACAAGAATTTTAAGAATTCTCATATAATTTATGCATGTCCAAAAGTGTCTACAAAGAAACTGCAAAATTACTCATTTTAAAGTACTCCTTTTCTTTTTAACCTACATCTACTGCATTATCTGTAACCTGATTTTTGAATCAAATACCACAAAGGATATAATGAATAACTGAAATTGGTACCTATTTAAGACTTGCATATTTTGAAATAAAAAAACAAACAAACAAATCCTAACAATCCTTACCCTACATCATCTGGAACCACATGAGTAGTCACCAAAGGTCTTTTCTTTCCATGCTTGTCCATTACTGGTGTTTCACCTTAATACAGATTTTAAAAAGATTTACAAAAATATCTTATATTTTCTTGAGGTTATTTGAATTATTAAAAGTGTAGTTACTTTTCTGTAATGCCACTTCTATGAATGTCTCATGGATCTCAGTTGCCATCCATAACACATGCAGCTCCTAAAATTTGAATGTGGATTTGACATGGTGGTGAATTATTCTGCAAGGCTAGATTTGAGCCGGCACTGCCTTGAGTTTCTCTGGGCTGATCCCAACCAGTTGCAGTTTCTTTGTCCACAACTACACAATTATTCCCAACTCACAATGTAACAATCATCAGAAAGGTAAAATAATCTAAAAATTGAAAAAGACTTACCTGGAAGAATTTCATGCTACTGTAAAATATGCATTGAGATTCTGTAGTCTGACATTTAAAAAAAATTAAAATCACAAACAGATATAAAAAAACAGATATAAAAAAAGAAGGTAACTTCTTTCAAAAAAAAAATCCTTTGCTGTCAGATTTCTGTTAATGACTTGGTAAACATTTAGTCTGAATGAAGAAGGGGAGAAACTATGAGAAACAAACACAGAGATAACTGCTGAAAGACAAAAAATCCAGAAACAGTTACATCAAACTTTACAAAAACCTATCGTGATGAGCGAGAACTTTTTAAGAAAAATCCATTTTTTTATATGAAACTTCCTCAAAACTCAACAAGAATCTGATTTTTTTTTTCCTCAGCTTTATATGCTCTTTCTTCAGCTCAGATTCTTCATGAAATACTCTTAACCCTGCCAGCATTAAGACTCCAACTACCATACCCAACTCAGCACTCCGTAGAAGCGGAGCTCTTCTGTTCAGTCCTCACCTCACAATGCTCTAGGCAGCCAGGTGACAGAAGGATATGGCATTAAAATAAGGTAATAAAATCACGTAACAAAATCCTACTCTTAAAGACTCCACCTGTAATTTCAAGGCATTAATAGTGCAATAGACAGAGCTATTCTACTTTGTTCTCTTCAAAATTCTATTAAAACTATATACTAGGAGGTCAATCGGCAATAGGTTCATAATAAACATGAACCATGCTTACACAAGCACTTGCTAACACAGAAGTCTCTTCATTCATAGTCAGAAATACTATGAACTTCAAATTCAAAAAAAATACTAAAAAATTACATAAACACCTTTTCTAGTATCTTCCTCTGATCCACTCAGCTCTTTTCTTTCCTCCTGAAAGTCATAGGCAGGTATGGCTTGATCTTCCTGTGCTGGTTTACTAGCTTTTCCTCCATGCTTTCTTCCTGATGGAGCCATAATAAGGTTTTCTTCCTACCAAAGCAGTATGTTGTATTTGTTACCTTTCCCCATAATATAAATTATGTTTCCATGCTTATGTTGCCCTGTTATAGACACCCTTGTAAACAGTTTTCACCTGTAAGGACCCTCAAGCAGTCAAAATACTTTAGTTTCAAGGTAATCCAAAGGATTACCCATCAGTAGTGATGTTAAGAATAAATACCAGGGCTAGTAGGCACATACTTGATTCTGCTGAAAAACAAGGAAGTAAATTATGTACATTCTTATGTCTGTGTGTCTCTGTGCTCCTAAACAAAGTGCAACTTTAAAGCGCATTCGTATATTTTATCTGACATAGTTTCCTTTGTACTGAAAATCAATATACAAAGCAGAACTTCTGAGCCCCCCATAGACTGTAAAAGAACTTGCTGCCTCACAACCCCACATATCCTACACCTATCCTGTGTAGCTACCTGCTTTAAACAAGTATCTTCAATCTACAGTTGTGTACTTAACAACTACTTTTCAGAGAAACTCACCTCCTCTGGTGAGTTGATAAAATAAACCAACATTTGTGTGCATTTCCTGTGTGGGGCTTTTCACCATGGGGCCCACCTGTTCCTACCTCAGGGCAGGAAGGGACACAAGCCTGCACCACACCACACCAGGTTTGGGGGGGAAGCCACTGTGGTGTCCTAACCTTATTCCTTACTCTCCACCCAAACACCTTCCATCCCCTGCATTGGCCCCTTCTTCACGTTCACCCCCACACAGCACTCATCACAGCCGCCGCCTCCGCACAAGGAGGGGACCCCACCAAGCGGCAGGGAGAGCGAGCACCCAAACCCCTCACCCTGGCTCTTATAGAACTTCTCGCGTTCCTTGTGCTCCCGCGCCCTTCCCGGTGACAGAGACGGCCGGGAATGGCAGGGAGCACTGCCACCTCAGCAGCCTCCTTCCCTGAGGAAACGGCGGGAAAGCGTACGGCCCGCACAACAGGGCTCGAGTGCATGCGCACTAACACCACACCCCCACCCGGTGCCCTCAGGAGCGGTATCTGCGGTCTGGGCCAGGCACGGCGTGCAGGTTCAGCGTTAACCTCACCTACCTTTATCTGATTTCATTCTTTATTAATAGAAATGGCTTTAATTTATAGTAAAAGAAAAAGAAAGCCCGCAAAATAAGTTGTTCTAGTGTTTGTAGGCCAGGAGGTGATGCAAAAGGAGAACTTTTCCCTAAAGTCAGTGCAAACCAGCAATATTTCTCAAGGCAGATCAATTTCACAAACTACATGTTTTATTATTTCAGTTGTTGAGTTGCTTTGGTTGGGGGGTGGTGGTGTTTGTTTTGGTTGGGGTTTTTTGTTTGTTTGGGTTGGTTCTGTTTTTTCCAGCTTTTTCTGCTGTCCTCACAGGAGTTTCTGTCCTCAGCCACTTAAAGTATTTTACTCTTCACTTATAAAGACAAACTACAAAATCTAAATACAACAAAATCCTAACGCTGTTTCAGTTTTTAGTGTTCTCATTAGCCTCAACCATCTGAGAACTTCTTTGTATTTCCTTAACCAAGTTTTACATTTTCACTGGGTCTAGCTGGGGTGGAGTTAGCTTTCCTGAAGTACTGTAGATCTAAACTACTTATATTCTACATTTCAGCATAATATGTATTGCTAGCAAGAAATAACCTTACTAATTATAAGTGCCTGCATTTTTACAATGCTGAAAAGTTCGGCTATACTTTGAGAATTCACTCGTGCTTCAGATTAAACTATTACTGTTGGAAGATTTTTAAGGGAAAAAAGCTTTTAACATAATGATTCATAAGCTAATTTATCAAAATAGGTGACTTTTTGTTTACTTTAAACCAGAAACAACAGACAAAACTTTTATCACATTTTAGTTCATTTCAAAGCAAACCAAGTATCTTACAATACATATGCACACGTTTTGTACATCATCTGATTACAAAAAATAATGCTTTTTTCTTTGCTGCTAAAACAAATAGCTGAAGATACACCAAAAATTTCTGCTTGAAAAGATTCAGTATCCCTTCCCACATAAAACTGCACTATTCTGACGTCTCAGCAAAATAGAGGGCCGAACCCTGTTAAATTAAAAACACCAAAGCTTCGTATGTTAGTACAAATATTGTTTTGTGAAGTGAAACACTGCTCCCATACATTGCTACATTGAAACAATTCATTACCCATTCATATAGAGGCACTTTTGTTTTTATATTTACAATGTTTGTAAAATGCTATACCTTGATCATTTTCATTTGATTACAACCCTCCCTTTGTAATCAAGCCAAGAAAAAACACCACGGTATTCTTTGGAATACAATACACCAGATATAAAGTATCTTTCAAATAACCATTACTTGTTCTGTTACTGTGTAAATTTTTATTAGCATATATTTCTTCCAATACCCAATTAAATACTACAAATAGGGGGATGAATTATCACACTGTGCTTTAAAGAATGTCAACATTAATAAATGTATACTAAATCTAAATGAGTTACATAAACTTCAATTTTCCCTTAGGGCTAAAAAAAAGCAGCATCGACAGAAACTTGCAAAAAGATTTGGAATGCAAGATCAAGGACCTGTTAAGCTGATCCCAAACAACTCTACCTCCCAACGTTTCCTCTAGTTGGCAACATCCACTGCAATAAATGCAGTTAAATTTCTTTAGGTAACCCTTTTTATAAAAAAGGATAAAATGGCCATGAACTACCAGTTGTAAAGTAAGATCTGTTGAAAACTGCCTAAGTACAGGTTTCCTGCAAGTATTTGTTTTCATCATTTTGCATTGTCAACAGCTCCAGCAGCCTGTATATCATGAAGAGTACTGCAGAGATTCTAACTGCAGAGGCATGATTTTTTTTCTTCATCTCAACGTAGTTAAATATCAAACCATAAAAGACACTTATGAGAGATCTTAAATGCTTATCACATTTTGAGGTAGACTGATCTCCAAAATAAAGCTCTTCTATACTTTGATTCGTTCATGACCAACTTCCTTTTGGATCCTTCTCCTTGGAAATATCTTTCTTTTAAGTGCAATTAGCTGATGAGAGAAAACAAAAAATACAGTAATTACTTTTCTGCTGGGCTAGAGGTGCACAGTCGATCAGGCTTTCATCCTAAAATCTACAAAATCTGTACCATCCATGGTCATTAGGACAACACTGCACAAAAAGTTATTTATTCCATTTCATCTATTAGGCGTGCCCATTTCCAATGGACTTCTCAATAACCAGAATACAAGCAGAAAGTAAGTAATACAGTATGCCTATATTCTGATTATTTAAAAGATAATTTGTGTATTTATATTAACACCAGGCTATATTCAGTTTCTAAAAGATAAACATGAAGCTGGCACCTTAAGCATTATTTATACACCTAGCTGTACTACAAAGTTGAGGACCCCCTTCCAAAACCAAGTTACTAACAGAGGATGAGTTTTCTAATATATAGAAAAGGCTGAAAAATCAAGAGAAAGATTCATGCAAAAGTTACAGGTGGGAAAAAAATAATTAAAAGCCAACCTTTCAAGATTTACACCCTCTTCATCAGACCACGGAAAGTGTTACTTAAGGCCCCAACCTGCAAAGAATTACCCATACAATTTGTTCCATTGTGTCCCTCTTAGTTCAGCAGGATTAATCATGTTCAAGAAAGCCATTTTATGCTTGCAGAAGTGGAGCATCTTTTTCCTTTGTGTCAGATTCATAACCTTTTGAATTCAACTGAAGTCTTTGCAATTACTTAGGGATGAAATTTAGATAAGGCCTCTAGATACTTTAAGATTCTCTTCAGGACTAGAGTATAGTTGTTACTTAAATGTCCTTCCCATTAACTTACTTTGAACCTTTACCAATATGTTTGTTAACAGACCAAGAATTTAAAAAACAATTACGGATTCTGAGCATCCAAATTTGGCACACTGATGATGGTCCTGACAGCCACAAGGCACCTGAAAAGGGAATACTGCTTTCCTTCCCCCCATGTGACTCTTTTCAAGGAATTTCAACATGATGACTTAAAGCAACCTAATCATTAGTCATGTAACACTGTTGCTTCCTTTATGAAGGTAAAATCCTAGATACTCTTCAAAACCCATTTAAAAAAAATATTTTATATTCTGAAGATAACACCAATTTATTAAGTGCTACAGATTTGATAAGGTATTAATTTTACCTGTTCAGCAAAAAATGAGATGACTGTAAATACAATAAGTGTTACTAGAACACAATGGGTCCAGAATTTGAGCTTGTCTCTATACGCCCTCCTGCACAAAGAAAGAAGGAAACAGAAAAACAGTAAAACAGGTTCATATATTTTAAATACAAATATATAAATTTTAAAGAGTTTTCATGAGATGGGCTGAAAGGATGGCTAGAAGAGGACGGAGGCTCTGTTTTCACACAGCCACACGGAGAGGACAAGGGGCAACAAGTACAATTTGACTGGGAGAGGTTTCATCTTGATATAATTATTTTTACAGTGAGAACAATTCCCAGGGACATTGCGGAATTCTCATCACTAGAGGTTTTCGCAACATGGCTGCACAGGGTACTAGATAATCTCATCTAGGCTCACTTTCCCACAAAATGGCCAGATGATCTTTTGAGATCCCTTCTGACCTGAGCTCTTTCATGACTCTAAAATGTTTTGATAAACATGGATTTCCACCAGCACTTGAGCATGCTTTAACCCATGCTAGTAGGAATCTTTGGCTATGAACAAACAAAATAAAGTGTCTTTTTGAAGCTAACAAAGTCTCAGTGGATGTCCTCAGAGAGCCAACAATATGTCTACTCTTCCGGCACAAATTTCTAGAGATTAACTGCTGAAATGGGTTTGCTTCCCACTCGTTCTGCCATTGCTACAGCTTGTAGCACTACAATCCATACCTCTTCTTGTCACCTACAGTCGTTCTGATTCTTTGTACGGTTCATCTCTCTCTCTCTCCTAACATTCATTTCTCATAATTTGCTGATCAGCAACAAGATTAC